CTCTGGTCATCTCCTGTACTATGTCTGCAGTCCATTGGTTCAGAATTTTTTTTTTCCTGTTTTTCGCCTCTAAAACCTAGGTGCGTTTTATGGTCAGGTGCGTCTTATGGAGCGAAAAATACGGTATCAATTTGGGCTATAATGGATTGGTGCTCAGGATCGCTTGACGTCATCAGACAGTGCAAGGAGAAACAAAGCCCAAATCTCGCGACCTCCGAGATCTCGCGAGATTTGGGCTTTCCTTCTCCCTGTGCTGGCAGAGTGATTTAACACCTGTTTAGATTTGTCATCCAAGTCACAAAATGAAAAGTATGCCGTTTTCAATAAACTTTTGCATAAAATAGTTCATTTGCATTTCATTTTAATGGTTCATCAGAATGTCGGGCAAAATGGTCGGCTCTCGCACATGTTCACTTCATCAAATCTGGCACTCTTCCAAAAAAGTTTGGACACCCCTGTAGTACACCATCTGTTAGGCTGATGGAGAACAGTAAAGTGACATAATAGCCTTTTGCAACCATCCTGTAATACCAAATTTTTGTAAGACCGATTGCATGAATCCCCAATGAATGTAGTCGAACACCTTTTCTGCATCAAGTGAGAAGAGCAGAGAAGGTGTTTGTGGTCTTGTAAATCATGGATTAAAGAGATTAAACGTCTAGTGGCATGCTGACCTGGTATGAAGCCTACTTGGTGTGGGTGTACTAAGGAGGGGAGGATAGGAAGCAATCTACGAGCTATTAATTTGGCATATAATTTAACATCGGTGTTAATAAGAGATATAGGTCTGTAATTTTGCACCATTTGGGGGTCTTTCCTTGGTTTAGGAATAGTTGTTATTGTGGACTGTAGCATTTCTTTGGGTATAGAGCCCTAGGAGGCGGCAGAGTTGAAGAGATTGGCTAAGTGTGGAGAGAGGATATTGGCAAATTGTTTGTAATATTCATTGGTATAGCCATCACAACCTGGAGATTATTGAGCGGTAATGAGCGAATCACTGATTCGATTTCTGTGGTATTGAAAGATTAAGATAGTTTGCAATTTAGTTGTGGAGAGGATTGGGAGTTTGATCGATTGTAAGAAAGATTGCATATCAGTAGGGGAAGGTTGAGGGGTCTCTCTATCATCTTTGAGATTGTAGAGGGATCTATAAAAGTCAGCAAATGCGTTAGCTATATCTAAAGGATTGGACATGAGCTCATTAGATCTCGGATGGCGAATTGTCTGAATTTTGGTTTTAAGATGTTGGCGGTTAACTTACCTGGCTAGGAGTGAGCTTGCTTTATTGTTTAGAGAGTAAAAGTTGGCTTTCACTTTTTTTTAAATTAAGGTCATATGGGTATAGTAGAAGAGTACAAAGCTTTTCCTTCTCAGCTAATAGGGAGGAGGAATTCTTCTCAGAGGGGCTATTTTTGTTTATTTCCTCTTTAGTTTTTATAGAAGCCAAGAGCTCTTTAATCTGGTGCCTCCTACGGGTGGATACTTGAGATGATAGTTTAATAATTATCCCTTGCATAAAAGCTTTATATGTAGACCATAAGCTGCTAATGGATATGTCAGGAGTATTATTGGTTTCAAAAAAGAGAGCATGAGCGTCCACAATAGTTTTCCTGTGCTCGAGTTCCCTTAAAAGCATTGAATTTAACCTCCAAGGTTTAGAATGGATAGTCTGCCAGTTGTGGCTAGTGCTATGGTGATTGGTGCGTGGTCCGACCAGGTTATGGAACCGATTGATGAAGAGGAAATGTGCTGTAGAGTCCATTTATCCGCGAGGAAGAAGTCTATTCTGGAATGCGATAGTTGGGAGGGAGAGTAATATGAATAGTCTCTCTCAGAGCCATGTTGACATCTCCAGATATCATATAGATCGTTGTCATGAAGGAATTGATTAAGACTGAGTTTCGAGGACCGTTTGCTGGATGATGTGTCCAAATAAACTGTGCCCACTATATTGAAATCTCCATCAATTAATAGCCGAGCTTTCTTCATCAGTGTAATTTTGGTCATTAGTTTGTAGAATCGAAGTTGGTCTAAGTTAGGACCATTTACATTAACAAGCGTAAAAGGGGTATTGTTGATAAGACATACTAGGATGTGAAAGCGCCCCAGGGGATTGAAGTATTCTGAAGATAATTGGAATTTGACCGAATCTTTGATCGCTGTCATGACTCCATTTGTTTTGTTGTGGTGGGATGCTAAGAATCTTGTTGAGAAATTCTTGAGTTGAAAAAAAGGTGTTTTAGATAGAGCAACGTGAGTCTCTTGAATAAAGATGACATCAGCACGTAGGGCAGCAGTTTCCTTATTTAGTGAAGATCTCTTAAAGGGAGAGCTGAGTCCTCTGACGTTAAGTGATCCTACATTAAGCATTTTTTAGATATATATTGGTGTGAGGAGTATGAGGTAATCTGTATCATCAAAGGATTCTTGCGTGATGGGTTAGATGTGTGAGAGGTGCTGTTTCATCATCTTGGAAAGGTGATGCGCTTGGTCTGTGTCGTCACTGAGAAGCCATGTGTGAGGCAGAGTCACTTGTAAATTGAGATTGTGAAGATGTTTGCAAAAATATAGGGTATAGAAGTGGAGCCTTAATGACTGGTAAAAACAACAGAGAACAACATAGGAACTGATATTTAAAAACATCTTATGAAAAATGCAAGAAACATGGGTAGTCTGGATGACTACTGTCTTACAGGGTCAGAGTGGTACACACAACAACATCAAGTTGTCACTTGGCAGTGGCGAAAAAGAGAAACTAACATTGGAAGTAGGCCAGCAGCATATGTGTGAGTAGTAGGGTCAGGAATCTGACTTATGGTAAGACAGTGTTCAGGTCCAATCATGCTCCATTTGGTGAGGTTGGTGAGGGTTGTTATGGCGGTCGTCTACCAGAAGTATATTCCACTCCTTAAGGAGATCTATTTCGTTGTCTAGGCTCCTGATAGTAAAAGATTTGCCCGGATGTTTAATGAGAAGTTTGGTAGGGAAACCCCATTGGTATACTATACCATTATTTCTTAGGGCTTTGGTGATAGAGATCAGTTTTTTCCTGTTAAGGAGGGTTTCTTTGGAGAGATCAGCAAACAATTTAATACCTGTATGAGAAGTAGGGAACACTGCAGGGTTTCTAGTGGCCATCATTAACTTTCCTTTGATATGATAAAAGTGAACCCTAATCAGTACATCTCGTGGAACTGATGCTTGCAAGAATGCAGGTTTTGGTATTCTGTGTGCTCTGTCAATTGCAGTTTCAATCATGTTGATTGACGGAATGAGGTGTTTCATCAATTGTTGTATATATGGTAGGTAGGAGAGCGTCAGGAGTGACCGATTCTAAGATTCCGCAAATTTTTATGTTATTTCTTCTAGAGAGGTCTTCCTGATCCACTATCTTGTTTTTTAGTTGTATGATCTCAGATTTGTGGTCAGCGTGTGCGTCTACTACTGTGTTATGGGCTGCAAACATGTCAGACATCTTATTTTCAATGTGCTGTATCCGTTTGGCATGGTCAAAAATTACATTTGAAAGAGGGGTTATCACATTGGAAATGTCATTGTGTAAAGTTTGCCTTAAAGAGAGCAGCATACTTTTCATAGTTAATTCAGATACAGGTTGATCAGAAGCTGGAAATTCTTCAATGGCAGATTGTAGTTGTAGTGTAGGAGTATAAGGGACAGCTGAGGAGTGGGGATCATTTGTGAAGGGTCTTCAATCCTGGGCCTAGACTTAGCAGGGCTTCTAGATGTGGGAGAGAGAGAAGGAGAGGACTCACCCAGATCACTATCATACAAAGGAACCAGGAGCCTGGGGTCTGGCTTGTAGACGTTCAGGTCTGAACACATGTTTGCTGTGTCCCCCACATGGCTTCTCGCAAACTGCAAACGGGACTTCTTATGGCTTTCTTTCAACAATGGCTTTCTTCTTGCCACTCTTCCATAAAGGCAAGATTTGTGGAGTCCATAACTAATAGTTGTCCTGTGGACAGATTCTCCCACCTGAGCTGTGGATCTCTGCAGCTCCTCCAGAATTACCATGGGCCACTTGGCTGCTTCTCGGAATAATGCTCTTCTTGCCTGGCCTGTCAGTTTAGGTGGACAGCCATGTCTTGGTAGACTTGCAGCTGTGCCATACTCTTTTCATTTTTGGATGATGAATTGAACAGTGCTCTGTGAGATGTTCAAAGCATGCGATATTTTTTATAATCTAACCCTACTTTAAACATCTCCACAATTTTATCCTTGACCTGTCTTGTGTGTTTTTGGGCCTTCATGATGCTGTTTGTTCACTAATGTTGAGGGTTTCACAGAACAGCTGTATTTATACTGAGATTAAATTACACACAGGTGGACACTATTTCATAATTAGGTGACTTCTGAAGGCAATTGGTTGCACTAGATTTTAGTTAGGGGTATCAGAGTAAAGAGGGCTGAATACAAATGCACGCCACATTTTGAGATATTTATTTGTAAAAAACTTTTGAGAAGCATTTATCATTTTCCTTTCACTTCACAATTATGTGCTAATTTGTGTTTGTCTATTACATAAAATCCCAATAAAATACATTTACGTTTTTGGTTGTAACATGGCAAAATGTGTAAAATTTCAAGGGGTATGAATATTTTTTCAAGGCATTGTATATACAGGCCTTCCACATTTATACTAGTGTGATTGGTGAGAAGCATACTGAGCTTTGTTCTGGTTTGTTTCAGCATTTGGATGCTATTTTCAAGCCTACCGTCACTTTGGTTTTATAGCTTTGTCTCCATATGATTAATCCTTCCACCAGAAGAAAGCAGTTTACTCATCTTTAACCACTTGCCTACCGGGCACTTTTACCGCCTTCCTGCCCAGGCCAATTTTCATCTTTCAGTGCTGTTGCACTTTGAATGACAATTGCGCTGTCATGCAACGCTGTACCCAAAAAAAATTTTATCTTTTTTTGAGACAGATAGAGCTTTCTTTTGGTGGTATTTAATCACCACTGGGTTTTTATTTTTTCCTAAACAAACTAAAAAAGACTGGAAATTTGGGAAAAAACATTTTTTTTTTTTAGTTTATGTTATAACATTTTGTAAATAAGTAATTATTCTCCTTCACTGATGTGCGCTAAAGAGGCTGCACTGATGGACACTGATAGGCGGCACTGATGAGGAGGCACTGATGGGCATTGGCAGGCATCACTGATGGGCACTGAAAGGCAGCACTCATATATGGCACTGACAGGCAGCACTGATGGGAACAGATAGGCGGCACTGATAGACGGCACTGACTGGAACTGATAGGCGGCACTGATTGGAATGGTTAGGCGGCACTGATGTGTACTGATAGGTGGCAGTGACTGGCACTGATAGTGCGGCGCTGACTGGAAGCACTGACTGGCACTGATAGTTGGCACTGAAAGGTATCTCTTATGGGCACTGATATGTGGCATTGATGTGCACTGATATGTGGCACTGATGGGCACTGACAGGTGGCATTTTTGGGGACTGACAGGTGGTACTGATGGAGCTACACTGATAATCAGGGCACTGATGAGCAGTGTACATATGCCCTCTGAGGAATGCAGCTTACTACCAGCTCTCCTCTCCTCATGCACTGTCAACGTCAGTAGAGGACTGCCGATAACAAGCTATGTCATCAGCTCTTTACTGCAAACTGTGATCCGCTGTGTTCCAAGGACAACTCGCACCACCGATTGGCGTGCATGCACAGCTGGAGTGGCAGGACGTCATATGACAACCTCCCAGAACAAGAGAACTGTCATTTCCTTATATGGCAGGGCGGGAGGGGGTTGAAATAGAGATTTAGGGATGTTGTCCTTTAGCTGAATTTAGTGTTTCCTCAAAAGTAGGTGGCCTTACAAACTAGTAGTTCAACTAGGAAGGTTGTTTACTTTGCATAAATAAACCAATAACTAATTATGCTCTCAGTGCTAGAGGGTAATGATGCACACTATGCTCTATATACAGGAAAAACAAAACAATAAACAAAAAAGTGCTCATAACCTCTGCTTACTTTGCATACAATGTTACACAAAGTCTATACCAGGGGCGGACTGACCATTTGGAAACTCGGGCACTGCCCGAGGGCCCAGGGTCAGTAGGGGGCCCCATGAGATGCCCCTGGTACCTTTTTCATAGGCTTTTTTGAGTTTTGGCAAGGACATAGGGGCCCCATCCCCTATTGCCCGGGGGCCCCATGAGTTGTCAGTCCGCCCCTGGTCTATACTAATACTAACTTGAGTGTGTCTTCTGTGGTGGCATGCACCCCATAACTCGTTGTTTTAAAAAGGTCAACGTGCAAAACCAATCTTCTATACAGTCTCTTTTTCATAAAAGCACAGATTCTGGTGAAACTGGAAAGTCTGCTGCAATGGCTATATTAGTTTCCAAACCTACAGATGCACTATTTACTCATTGATGGCTTTAGTTCTGCTTCTATATCCCTGTTTATACTGGCGAAGGTTGTTTATTGGTTGATCTACTTTGTATTGTCTTTTCCTGAAATGGTGGACGCAAAATTGACAAAGAAACAGGTAGTTGGTCTTTTTCTAACCCTTATTTTGCTGATTTCAGGCTCTATCCTTTTAATGGGCAGTATTATTTTAACAAATGTTTATAAATGGAGTGTTCCCTTTCCTGTTTGTATTTTGAGCTCTTCTCTACTTTTCTGGAGTGGTCCAAAATAGTCAGTATCAAAACTCAGCAATGTTTTGTTGAACAGACTGTCAATGTAATTCAGTCCTTGTTGGGATCTTTGGCGTTTGCTTCCCACATTATGCTGATGGGCAGGACTTTTTTGGGCAATTGTACAGGTTGATTTGTAGTCACCTTTTCTTCACGTCAAACTTGACAAGGGAGGTAAAAGAGGATTTAGTGGTTTGGTACAAATTCTTGTCCTGTTATGGTAGAGCCTTGTCACTGCCGATAGTATTTTGGTATGGTAAATGGTGTGCAGCTGTTTGGTATAACTCTTAGATTAAGAGATTGTTCTTTTTGGATTGTTCCTTGTAGATGCAGCTATTGTTGTTTAGGTCAGTGGTGGGCAACCTTTTTTTTCAACTGAGCCAAATCTCGCCAAAACCACGATTGAAATTTATTTTGAGAGCCACATTTTTAAAACTGAAAATACATAGGATGGTACACTGTTTTTAGTTTCAATAAGTTTTTATAGTAATTCATCCCCCATAGTAATTCATCCCCCATATAGTAATTCATCCCCCATATAGTAATTCATCCCCCCTATAGTAATTCATCCCCCATAGTAATTCATCCCCCATATAGTAATTCATCCCCCCCATATAGTAATTCATCCCCCCTATAGTAATTCATCCCCCCTATAGTAATACATCCCCCCTATAGTAATTCATCCCCCATATAGTAATTCATCCCCCCTATAGTAATACATCCCCCCTATAGTAATTCATCCCCCCTATAGTAATACATCCCCCCTATAGTAAATTCATCCCCCATAGTAATTTCATCCCCCATATAGTAATTCATCCCCCTATAGTAATTCATCCCCCATATAGTAATTCATCCCCCCTATAGTAATTCATCCCCCATAGTAATTCATCCCCCATAGTAATTCATCCCCCATATAGTAATTCATCCCCCATAGTAATTCATCCCCCCTATAGTAATTTATCCCCCATAGTAAATTCATCCCCCATATAGTAATTCATCCCCCATAGTAATTCATCCCCCCTATAGTAATTCATCCCCCATATAGTAATTCATCCCCCATAGTAATTCATCCCCCATATAGTAATTCATCCCCCATAGTAATTCATCCCCCATATAGTAATTCATCCCCCATAGTAATTCATCCCCCATAGTAATTCATCCCCCATATTAATTCATCCCTCATACAGTAGTAGTTAGTAGCAAGTAGTAAGCCAAGTCCCCCCTGTGTCAATTGACTTACCTTTGCTCCGCGCGTTCCTCTCGCCGTGTTCCCCACGCCATTCCGGTCTTCAGGGCGGATTGTGAGAGGAGCCTAGCTCCCCTCACGTTCGTCACGCTGCCCCGCCTACACTCATCCTGACAGCCAATCACTAGCTATCAGGATGTGAGTGGCAGCGAGACTGGCCAATCATTGCTGGGCTAGCTGCAGAGTCCTCGGCCGCCCGAGAGGAGGGAGGGGAGCGGGCGCCCGGCACACAGAAGAGCCGCATTAAAATGTGTAAAGAGCCGCATGTGGCACGCGAGCCGTGGCTTGCCGACCACTGGTTTAGGTGGCCCACTTTTGAAATGAGAGAATCCTACTGCATACTGATAATAAGGGTATATATGCATGCTGTCAATTTTTTATCATCTATTTCTTTTTCTGTACCCTGGATGCTTCACCACTTACTTCTTTGATGTTTTCTGAAATATAATATTTGGTCATCTGGCAGTTCTATCGTAATCGCTGATGCTTTATCTTGCTTGGTACTGGATACAGAAGGAAAAGGGACAAAGTATCCAGATCATTTGTTGCACCTGATCTGTTCTGTTATGCCTACATTCATAAAACGCTCTGTCTCCAAGGCTACTTGGAATTGCTATTCCTAATCATGGTTTCAAAGGGTAGGTTTTTGTTAATAGTTTTAATATATCTCCTGCCTCTGATTCTCCTGTTGTTTTTTTATTTATCACTCTCTGAAAGGCAGTTGCTCACAATCAGCTGTGCATACGTGTTTGATTGGTATATCATTCTTTAGGAAAATACAGTACATTTGGCACCCTCATTTTAGCTATTCTGCTTTTCTTCAACTTCTAAAAGGTTTTCATAAAGATTATTTTTCGGTGGATTCTTGCTGTCCTTTTTCATTCAGGTTAGGGGACTTATCCTGTTACTGATGTGGTTTGTAGTTCTGTCAGTGAAGCTCCTCTCTTTAAGGTCCTTTTTCTATTGCTTTTTTGGTGCATTTCATTTATCAGAATTGGTTTCTCCTTTGTGGTCTAATTTCTATGGGTTGACAGAGTCAGATGTTCAATGAAAAAAACAATATTGTTTATATTTTTATCAGAATATGTATCTAAAACCGACCAGCTGGCTAAAGGCAAGTGGTTGGAGCTTCACCACTTAAAGGGTTCAGCTTATTTTCCTTTGTGTCTATATTTTATTGGTTAGAACCACTTCAGTTGCTTCCTTTTCTCATAGTGACAGCCCTTCTCTGTTCAAGCTTCATTGTTCAGTAGCTTTGAAGAAATGTCTTTTCTGCTTTGAGCTTAAGTGATCTTTACATTTCTTCACACTCCTTTAGGATAGTGTTGTTACTGAGGCAGCAAGAAGGTTTTTCTGCTGAATCTATTAACATTCTAATAAGATTGGTCGGCATTGGCATCCAGGCACTTTAAGTTATTTGTTCATCCCCATTTGTCAGTATGCACATTTTTTTATTTCTCTGACAAGTACTAAGAAGATAATTTGTAGTAAACAACATTCTTTTTTTTTCTGGGCCCACAAGAGAGCTGTGAAAAATATCTTCACAAAGAATGTGTTTTTAGATATTGTTGCTCTTCAGGTCATTTGGCTGGGTATGAGGGGTTTGTCTTGTCACCTTTTATTTATGATGATGTTGGGGTGTGGCCCCTTTCCTGATGTTGTTATTGAGCAGCTGGATGAAACTTTATCGCTTATTCATGTAATGCATTATGATTTCTTACAATTACATCATATATGCTCACATATTTTCATGTATATATTCAGAGATTGTGCCCTGCCTATTATGGTACCACTGTCCCATATTTCAATTTGCTGAATATAACAGATAAGGGGTAAACAGGGCAATGCATAAGCTTTTGCTTTCTGCTGGGGATTTTGCCTTTCAGCATGTTCACCTGGAAGGTGTGATACCTATTTGGTATAGAAGAAATATGGTCCACTTAGCTGATATTGGATTTGATATATTTTTAACATTGACCTTCAAACAGTGATTGAGTTTTCTGTGGGTGATGCCAGACTTTTGTTAACTCTGGCTTGTGAGGGATGGCTTCCGCTTTAGTACATTAAAGCTGTACTAAAGTCTGGGAAAAAAACGTCCCTGTACAAGTTAAGGGAATAATGTGTTAGTATGCATCACACACTAGCACATTATGAAAGACTTACCTTAAAACAAAGACCTCCAGCGGGATGATGTCACCACTGGCTTCAATCTTCATCCTGTCTTTATTTCAGGTTTGTTGGCTACAGCGGTTTGAAAGGCAAAACCACAATGACATCACCCCCGAGCTTGCATATGGAAGCCACGATCATGGTACAGAGCTCTGAAGGAATAGCATACTCACCAGAACTAACATCCCCATTGGAAGATTACCCTTCTAGTACTTTTCTGGGGACAACCCAAAATTTGGGATTTTCTTTTGCTCTCACTTTCTAGGATAATGATAAACAGAACATATACACTCACTGGCCACTTTATTAGATACACCTTGCTAGTGCCAAAAACATGTCCCCCACACCATTACACCACAACCACCACCAGCCTGAACTGTTGATACAAGCCAGGATGGATCCATGCTTTCATGTTGTTTACTCCAAATTCTGACCCTATCATCTGAATGTCACAGCAACCAGTCTGCCCATTCTCCTCTGACCTCTGACATCAACAAGCCATTTTTGTCCACACAACTGCCACTCACCGGATATTTTCTCTTTTTTGGACCATTCTCTGTAAACCCTAGAGATGGTTGTGTGTGAAAATCCCAGTAGATCAGCAGTTTTTGAAATAATCTGACCAGCCCGTTTGGCA